TAAGTACTTCCTTGATGTGACAGCTTGCTTACTGCCGATCGTCGTCGGAGATGGTTCCTGATTGACATTGTCCCGTTCGTACCGAACCAATCCAAACTCATCTGTGCCTGTACACGAGTAGAATGATGGAGTAAATATTCGCAGTGGTATCCTCGCCGTTTCCCCGCGTTTACAGACCCATGATTAGATTACTCCGTAGTAGAAATGGGAGGGAAGAAGAAATTGACTGAATCGTCGATTTGTCCTCATTTCAAGCCATTATAAAGGGTGAATTGTATCTCCATCATGTCTTCCTTCCCCAGCCCAGCTCGTGTTTCTCTCATTCTCCTTCCCCTTCGTTCGTGGTCCCTTTGTCTCCAGCCCTTCGACAGGCTCATCATCCCCTTTGAGGTGTTTCGATTTCACCATGAAGCTTAATCTTCTCCTCACCGTTCTCTCTGCCAGTCTGGCTGCGGCTGCGCCCATCTCCCCTCGACCTGTCGCCCACAACGAGAAGAGAAACACCCCTCTCAACACTATACTCACCATAATCCTGAACCATCTTCCAGCAGTCAATGGCGCAATCGAAGTGGTTGAAAGTGTTATCACTGACTTCCAGAACCTCATCTCGGAGCTCACTGGCATAAGTGATACTTATAATGAATTAGGCGGTGCTTGCACTGACTACACTGTCATTTACGCCCGAGGAACAGATGATCCAGGAAACACAGGAGTCATCACCGGTCCGCCATTCTTCATGGCATTGGAAGCTCTTGTAGGGTCTTCTAAAGTCACCGTTCAAGGTGTGAATAATTATGCAGCAAGCGTAGCAACATTCCTCGCTGGCGGTGATCCTGTTGGAAGTGCTTCGATGTATGTCTCCCTTTGGCTACCTATATGAACAAACATGATATGAACAATCCAATATTTTGTGATACGTAAAGAAATTTCGTCATCGGGTATCTGACTTTGATATAGGGCATCAGAAATTGAGGCCGCGTACGCAGCATGCCCAAACACAAATCTTGTGGCATCTGGCTATTCTCAAGGAGGTCAAGTTGTACACAACGCACTTGCGTTACTTCCTGCAGCAACCGTGAAATGGATTAGCTCTGTCGTGATCTTCGGCGATCCAGGTATGTGAATTTTTTAGATTCTTTAGAGATCCTTATTCCTTAATGCATAATGCGGAGAGGATGCTGATAGATCGACGAACAGATAACGGTCAAGCCATTCCAAACATGGACGCATCGAAAGTGGACACAATCTGCCACACTGGTGATAACATCTGTGAAGCTGGGGATATAATTCTTCCAGCTCACTTAACTTACGGGGAAAATGCAGCAGCAGCTGCGGCATTTGTTGTTGCCCACGCTTCTGCATGAACTGTGGAGTGTTAAATCACATCACGCAATTTTGACGACATATGATGAGAGTGATGACGGTGATGACGGTGATGAAAAGATACCCCAAGTACCAGAATTTGCGATATGACTTTAGCTCAATATGATCTGAAGTCCTACCAAATGTTTGAATGTGGGTTGGAAAAAATGCTCCTGGTGTCAGCGATGCATTTTGGTAGCCCTTTTGGTGTTCATGGCGTTTGATAGCCTAAAAAGCTTGGACACGGTGCGTTTATTGGTATAGTCGCGCATAATAATGAATGAATTTACACCTGCAGACCAACTGTTGGTTTTAACCTAGATTACCCAGCATCTGATCTCGTGAAAGCCTCTCTAGGCCGCTGCGCATCTAGCAAGCGGATTTGAAGCCCCTGTATTTATGTAGTAAGCTCACTGAACTAACCACGCTTATGCATAAAACATCACAATCAGATCTTCATGAATCACTATAGGCTTCCCGGAGACTTTTCATTGCACAATTTCTGGGGTTGATGATAAATTTAGCATTTTATGATCAAAATATAGTGAGTAGATCTTGAATGACTGGGTTCCTAAGAACATCGCCTCCTGTTTTTGGTGTCGATGAACCCTGCAGATCCCTGAGCGGGATGCACTAGCACTGTGCCACAACATTCTTCTAAAATATGTCACAGGAGTGTGTTTGCAATCCAATTTCAGATCTTCTGCATTTCTGATTCATTGATTCATCTGCACATACCTATATCTGGTAGGCGACGTACTCCTGCAGATTAGCAAGTCACTTTTCTGCAGATAATCACATTCGCAATACCAGCGTGATACAACATCAGCCCAGACGTTCATCATGGGGAGAATAAACTACAAAACGTTCGCCGGGAGTCGACCTTCTCCTCTTGGACGTGCTATATCTGACGATTCAATCACTTCCTCTGATACTTTGTCAGAATCTCAAAAGAAGGAGTTACTGGATTCGAATCGGAAAGCCATGTTATCTATGTATTCTCGGAGGGGAGTTCTAGTTGTGATAGGTGCTTTATTCATTTTCCTGGCTGTTTTCATCCCGGTCACTAAGGCTCAACAACAACATCACCACCGAGATACATCCGCAACTGTTATCTATGAACCTATTCAACCTCCTTCATATCCTCTTGCAGTGAGGAATCCTTATCTTTCCGCCTGGATCCCGAGTTCCCTCGCCAAGAACATTAGTTCTGGAAATGCACAATTCTGGACAGGCCAAAATTTGATGTGGAGCGTAATTGCACGCGTGGATAATGTTACATGGAATCTTTTCGGGGTAGCTTCCCCAGGAGCTGGAACAAGATATGGGACTACAACATCGGCGAAATATACCTCTACACATTCGATTTTTAATGTTACGGCTGGAAATGTGACCTTCAGCTTGGACTTCTTTTCTCCCGTTAGCACTGGCAATTATCTGAGACAATCCCTCCCCTTTAGTAAGTTCTATTAAATATAATCTTCATATTCTCCATACACCTTATCCTTGAAAATTGTATTGATGATCAAGTAGGTTACTTGACTATATCTGCTGGGACTACCGCTGCAACCGATATTCAGATATACTCAGACATCAGTGGCACTTGGACTGGCCAGACTGCGTCCTCATCTTGGACATTCACAAAACAAAACACCACCTCGGCATTTTCAATCAGAGCCAACAATCGAGCCACATACTCGGAGGCTTCAGATCAAGCATTATGGGGTGAAGCCATCTATTCATCTCAACCTTCATCCACTTCTACTCTCACTACTGAATCAGGTGATAGGACTGCCGTCCGCAAAGTCTTTTCAGACACAGGTGCCCTCTCCGGAGTTCTGGGTACCTGGTCAGCAGATGGAGTCACAGGAATTTCCCACAATCTCGGAAGTGTAACAGAAACATCCTCTGTTACTTATGCCGTTGGATATGTAAGAGAAGCTGCAGTCAATTATCTAGGAACACCATACACCGGGTATTATCGTGCGACATATCCAAAAACTATCGATGCCTTGGAACATTTCTTTGAAGATTATGACGATGCATTGGTCGAGTCTCAAACTATCGATTCTGAGTTGTCTGCAGCCGCAACTCAGGTCGCTGGTACAAATTACTCAGATATCACAACCTTGTCATTACGACAAGTATATGGAGGAATCGATTTGGTAATTCCAAATGCTACACTGAATACCAGCGATGTCCTCGCATTCGTCAAGGAAATTTCAAGTGATGGGAACGTTAACACCGTAGATGTCATCATGCCCCTGTTTCCGGTTCTGTATGTTACAAACCCAGAATATTTACGTCTCCTCCTGGAACCAATACTCCAATATCTCGCTTTCGGTCGTTGGACTCTCCCTTACGTAATTCATGATATAGGTTCCGCCTATCCCAATGCTACTGGCCATGATGATGGCGTCGCAGAGGTAATGCCAATAGAAGAAACCGGAAATCTACTCATACTCGCTCTCGCTTACCAGAAAGCGACTAATAATACAGCTTGGGCAGAGAAATACTACACACTTCTCAACAAGTACGCGTCATATCTCCCATCAACTTCCCTCAACATAACTCTCCAACTCTCTACCAACGATGCTGCCGGTCCTCTCGCGAATGAAACCAACCTCGCAATCAAAGCAGCAGTTGGTTTGAAAGCTTTTGCTTCTCTAGCCGGTGAAACCTATTCGAATTATTCGACCATCGGAGATGCGCATGCTACTCAAATTTACGCGAATAAACTAGGAACTGATGCGGATCAAACACATTTCGTACTCAATTACCCAAATAATGACGATTCCTGGAAAATCCCCTTCAATCTCTACCCAGACGTTTTGCTCAATTTATCAACCTTCCCAGACGCAGCATATGCCATGCAAGAGAATTACTATCCAACCATTCGCTCAGATGGCGGAGTAGCTCTTGACTCTCGCCAGGCGTGGGCGAAATCCGACTGGAATATTTGGACTGCAGGTACAACGACAGGGGATGTGAGACAATCGTTCATTGATGATCTTTGGGCATTCATTAGCAACGGGAAGAATAGTTGGCCCTTTAGTGATAGATGGACAGTTAGAGTGGATGGAAATACAGAGGAAGGGATTGAAGAAGCGTTGAGGGCTAGACCCACTGTTGGTGGTCATTTTGCTTTACTCGCTTTGGAATTGGGAGGTAAAGGGCTGGGAAGTTATTGGAATCCATAATGGGATTTATATTTGATGGATGAAATGAATGAATCGGGGATGGTTAGTCGGGAGTTAGGGTTTCGTTGAACACGGGGATCTAAATGTGTATAGAATGGCACACAGCTGAGTTGATAACACTTGGCTGGATCTTTGTATAGGGACCTGAACTAGTACATGCGATGATGGCCACATGCCGCTCGATGGTATTATGAAAGCAGAATATATAAAAATGCAAAATATAGATGTTTCGCTCTCGTGCGTATATTTCAATATGCATCATATCAAACATGGACATTGAAATTCACGAATTCGCAGCACTGAAAGCACAATTAAGCAAGAATGAATCATCTACACATTATAAAGGTATTTTGTGAGTCTTGAAATCCCCAATAAAAGTCCGACACTCTGAACGCCGAATCGTATCCAATGCATTATCTCATCTAACTCATGTCATTCTTACAAGGCAAGCATAAAAGCTCCAACCATGGCTGCCCAAACCAAGCTCTGTCCAATAGCCATGCTCTTTCCAGCACCACTCTTGCTCAATCCAAAAGGTAGTCCTTGCAGGCTGAATGTGAGGTTTTGCGGAATAGTGCTGTTGTAACATTGTCCATTGACAATGTCAAGGTTCGTGAGATCATCTGGCACTTTAAAGAACATGTATTGTGACTGATTCAAATTTTGGAAACCCGATGTCTCGTATGGGAATTTGTCTCCACTGTCCGTCGCAGATGTATTGCGAAGGAAGATACATTGGACTTGTCCAGGAAAATCGGTAGCCATCTCAGGATAATCCTTCATAACATCAGAGTTAGAAGTATCGGCCATTAAAATAAATTTGCGGTTGGGATAGGTCTCAAAGATCTTGGTGAGAAGATACTTTCGGATAGAGAGTGTTGCGGATACATCGGAGAAGTTGAGGGGACGAGTATCAAAAGATCCTCCTGGATAGGTGTCGTAGATGAATTGCATGTAGTTCCTTGTAACTTGCTCCGGGGTAGTGGTTAAGTAATGGAAGTGGAAGTTAGGGATGGTGCGAGACCAATTGGCGTAAATATCGGGCATGTTCATCCATTGAGTGAATGGTCTAGCAAAAGAGTTAAGAAGACCTTCTTTTGGCTCGTAAATTTTTGTAACACGAAGAATGTCATCAATATCGGAGATAATGGTAATACCAGACTCAGGGACGAGGTAGGATGTTGCATTTCCGGTCAGTGTGCCATCGGTGTAAACATTTATTCTTTGAATGTCGGTTGTGTCGTTACCAGGAGCAAGATATCCACCAGGTCCAGAAACGTTGGCGATTTGGATAAATTGATCATAATCACCCTCCACGGTTGTTTGTCCCACAAGTGTAATATTCTGGGCTCCTCCACCTGCGGTTACCGCTCCACCACCGCCACTCTCTCCATCTCCACCTTGAGACGCAGCAGGCTCCAAGCTGAATGAAACATTAACATGTGCTTGTTGTACGACGAAAATTTCGGCAGTAAGATTTCGGGCTTGACTTTGTTGGGCCGCGGGAAGATCTTCGATTGAGGTACCAACCAGGAAGATGTTTGCTAAATCGTCCAGCTTGGATTCGGAAATGTTTGGTTGTTTGAAGACGTTTCCGTGAACGCGAAGGTTCCAGCCTTGATCAGTCCAATTCGCATATCCTCTGTTTGATGGTTAATTATTTGTCTTTCATTCTTCTTGAAATAAAATTACAACGAGGGAGAAGGTTGAACTTACGGGATATTCAAGACTTGTGTAGGAGTTGCTGCCAAGTCACTATCACCAATTCCCAAACTACTTTGGACTGCACTTCCGGTTGGAAAATCCTGGAAGAAATTGGGTACCCCGCTAGCAATGTATGAAGGATAAGTGCCGAGAACGCTGGTAATATAACTTTCTAGACCTTTGATGGATGATTCGACGGAACTAATCACTCCTCTTTCTTCCACTAGCGATGGTGTTCTATCCGTCAAAGAGGCTCGTGGAGTTATCATAGGGTGAGGAACGGGTTGAGCTACTGGATGTGGCGCTGGAAATGCCAAAGCCACTGGGATAAGTGCAAGAAGCACTTGAGGGAGAGTTGTAACCATGGTTGTTGTTCAAATGTGTGTTATTTGAGCGTGAACTGCTGGTCTGGAGGTGTAGATATTTGATAGATTTTCAATGGCGGATGATGTTATGGATAATTCGCCTCACCGACCACTTCAATCGAATGAGATCCTAAGAGAGAAGAGATATATACACAATTCGAGAATGCGTATAGATAGGATCAAACGACGACAAGAAGATGAAGATGAAGATGAAGAAGGAAAGATCTTCAAATAACAGTAGGAACAGCAACGACAACAGCAACAACAAAAAAACAATTTATAAATCGGTCGCGGCTGCAGGATTTAAAGGTGGAAGGATCTGAACCTCATCATTCTTCCGAACCCATCATTGGTCGAAAAGGTCGTGAAAAGGTCATGGCTTTTAGGGGCGGGGGGGTTCCAAGGCATTGAAGGAGGAAAAAGGCGGCATGAATCTGAATGTGTTTGGCTAGATAGATCGATCTTTGATATTTTTCAACATGGACGTCATTATACATCAATGACTTGGATATACGAGATTGAATTTTGAAACATGAAGTTATCCAGAATTCCAATTGGTTGTGGATGGCAAGAAATGCGGCACATGAATAAATTTACCCACAAAATAAAGGACCTAGATAAGCACCAGCCACCCCATGCAGCCGTGCTTCATCTACGTAAGTATTCCAAGGTTTTATGTCTCCCAAGTGTTGGTTTGTCATTGATTGAGACAGAATTTGAATGAAGGAGAGGAAAGGGAAAGAAGTGTAAAGGGCATAAGATTGAGGTAGCGAATACATATCCCATCGAAGCCTCATACAAAAGACTATGGTGGGCCGTTAAGACAGTGAGTGGTGCTTGCATATGCGATGAAGAAACCGCGATGAAGGAACTGTGATGAAGCAACGGCGATAAAGTGGAAATTCAGCAGCAAGATCAAACAACAAGGACGGGTTCAAGGGCCTGCGACTATCAACTATGTACCTCTACCTCTCCAGTAACCACTGGGCAGTTCCTTCAAGCTTGTGGAGCATTCGAGTTCCAACAGACAGTTCCAACAGACAGCGGTCAATACTAGGTTCTCAAATACCCCTGATTGACAATTTGACAGACATCTCATCAATCTAATGAAGATTGATTGATTGATTGATCAATTGATCAAGTGTCTTGGCAATGCAGGTACAAATTGATTAACCAAGGTACAGCCGTGGTGAGCGTGTCGATTCCAATCCACCACCAAATGTGTGTGCTTAAAATCCATTGGTAAATACCTATTTAGGTATCTTACCTCAAATGTTCGAAATGTATTCTTAAAAAAGTATATTTTGAGAATTATTTGTAACATCGGGGTCTCCGGCAGTCCGTGGGCTTGTCGACTTGAAAGCTTCCAAATCTCCAACCTATGTCTTATTCATATACAACGGCCATGCTGTCGTGAAAGCTTTATTCCCATGAGCTTAATAAACACATTCATCTAGTTGATGAGACAAAATCTGCCGGTCGTCAAGTGATCAACAAGTAGACGAATTTTCATAACCCTTTGAATTCATTTGCTTTGCTGCAATTCGATTGCCATATTCTAGCCGTACCAACTTCAATTACGTCTTTTCTTCTCCGTTAAAAGCACTGGCAGTAGTTAGTCAACTTGTTTCGTCCGTGAATTTGACCAGCCCGTATCAGTTTTGCCATTAGAGAACAACCTTGGAATGGATTGTTGAATTGCGATGTGCACACGAAAAAGAGGTCCCCAGGCATTCTGCTGCCTCTTCGAGTATTAAGTCTGGTTTTGATGGGACCACATAATACAATCTTCAACAAGAATACAATTCAAATAACACCAATTGTCAGATGATTCTCAAGTATCAATAATCATTATCTATCACTTTAAAGTCGATGTCAATGTCTTTGAAATTTCGGATCATATAAGGATGTCATGATTCATGTGTGTGTAATCAAATTCATAAATGACTAGGTACTTATTATACCACTATCTACGTAGTTATTACCCCCCATCTCAACCCTCAACTATGATTCCGAACATACACCCCAAAAGTTGGCCATTTACATCCCTATGAGTCCACCCTCCAAATTGACATTTTAAACCCGACTCAAAAGCTACACGTATCTTCTAAAGACCCAAGACCCCAAGATCAGGCTCCAAAAACCATACCTCTAAATCAATCTCTGGTAGATGTATGATCTCTAGCCATTGACCGATTAAGAAGCTCTTTTTCGGAAATAACTGACCGTTGGCTTTGCGAGCTGAGCGGTTGAAAAACTTCCAATGTCACCATCTGGTAGTTCGTAGCCATCTACTATCAAATCGACTACCACCAGTTCCGTAAGAAATCTCAAATTTCGAAGTTCGCCCTCGAAAAACTCACGGACCTTCCTTTCGAATATGTTTGCAGACTCCAGCTGTGCTTGGCTGTCTGTTTTGATATTCAAAATCAATTTCTGTACATTGAGACAAAGCGCATTCATAACGGGAATGTAAACCCGAAAGCTATCCAAAAGACAGTCATCGCAAAAGTGACCCTGCTCGCATTGGTGACAGCGAACATCACCAGAAAATGACAGGGTGCGAAGAAGGGCTGCATTCTTGGCGCCAATCATATACAAGAAGCGTAGAAATGGATCGTGGTATACCCATCCTACTAATTTCTTGATCGTCACTCGCCTCTGAATGTCTCTAATGCCCTTCTGGATTTTGGCATCAAAGATTCTAGATGAATCGTCGCTAGCTGTTACAAAGGGTTTGCGCGGAGATGGTCGCCAATAATCGCCGTCAATCCAACTTCCAGGACTTGTTTCGCTACTCGGATTGTTGGTCTTGAAATCGTAGCAGTTGAAATGGTATAATAATCTACCACCCGTGTGGTTCCAGGCTTTACACACTCGTAGACAAGTAGCGTCTATGTGACTTTGGTGAAGTCTGCGCAATACCAACAGTCTGCCATGTACAGTCGTGGTGAGTACACCGACCTCAGTCGTTGTATATGGATTGCAGTCTTGACCAGGCATGTAATGGGGTGAGCCGGAAAACTCTCTTTTCCAATTGGTCGTCGCGATTTGAGGCACAAGTGCGGCATCCATAACTTGCACGAGATGACCCAGTATATTGTCGAAGATCTCTGCAGCAGGTGGAAATTAGCTTTAGTGATCGATATATTTCTATGGGGTGTTGGAAGCGAAGAATGCAAGAAATAAATCCCGATTCATTGCACTGAATCTGGCTTGAAAAGTCAAGAAAGAAATCACGTCAAACTCCGACTTACCACGAGGAAATTTGAAGATATGGCGATCATGGCTTTGAGGTAAGTGCCATCCTTTCTCGCTCTTGTGTTGGGTGTCCTCCATGAAAGCTCTGCGGTTCTTGCTTGTATGGTCAACTTCGCTGAGTGTTCGGCCACGCGGATCGACGCAATACTTTCGGTGTTTATTGTCGAAGTGCTCCTCAAACCATGGGAACCAAAAGTCTTTGCGCTGACCAATGTCTGCATGATGTTAGAAATTATTAAAATGTAGAAATGTTTTGTTATTTACCTTTTGCGATGATACACTTCTGTCCATCCCTAACGAAGATGACATTCTTAATCCAGCGTTCGGTGACATGATCTGCGAGAAGCTTCTCTTTATCAATGTCAGGGTAATTCTCCATCCTGAATGCCTGTCGCCGGATCATTGACATCACTTCTCGTTGTTTTAGGTTCTGTTGATGAAGTTCCATAAGGTCGTTAACCCACATCCTGTCGAGGTGAGATGGCTCCCAATTCCCCATGCTGGAAACAGATCTTGGTTGCTGTGAAGGTGCCATGATATCTTTGATTTTACCGAGAAGATGTCTGATGAAGTAAGACAACGTGGAGGATAGTTGTAAATTTTGGTTGAGAAGGAGGTTATCGATGCTTTTTTGAAATTAGGTGTTGTGTATCATAAAACAAAGCACGAGAAGACGCACCTTAAAAATACTTTTGCACCAGCAATTTCAGTTCTTCGGTTAAGGATTGATCTGTCCATGTTGGATTGCCTGTTGTGAATTGATGATTATCTATTGAATTGTACAGCAGGGCCGCTCTGGCGATCTAACAAGATATAAGCTCAATGTAGATTTGCCAGCAGGTGCTGTAGTAGAAGTTCAGAATCATGATTCATTTAAATGTAGTCTCTCAAAGCCGGAGTATTGCATTAATGAATGTATGTCTGTGAATAAAAATGTCAGAAACGAAAGCGATAAACAAAATCACTCAGGGGTAAACAATAGTGCCGCTGGAGAGAACCGTAATCGAAGATTTTTACATACCTAATTGAATTGCGTGATATGAATTTCTCATGAAAATTGATTATATAACCTATCTGTCGATGATTCTCGTAAGATAATTGGTCGTTTTATATATACACTTTACTGTAGCAAAGGCTCAGAGCTCTTGAAAAAATAGACTTTCCAATAGGTAACAGAAATTGTTCCCAACTACTATCGATGACGCTGTCACTGATCTGCGTTCCTTCACTCGCAGAGCCTCTTTTTAGTGTCGGCGCTTGGAATTTGACACTCCGCTTCTAGAACCCGAGTATGAGACTTCAAGGACATAGGTAACTCCCCGATATATGACCTTAGCATCGTCATTTGATTTGGGCTTCATTCTTTGCTGTACCACAGTCATTCCCTTAATCACCTCTCAGTCATGACCCCAGAACTGTCGACAGTACCTTCGGAAACGACGGCTTGTTCTTCATCAATGATTTCATTACGTCTTGAACGTCGAGAGCACGCGCCCCACCAGATCACAATCCCAATTACCATCGAGACGAAAATGTACAATACTATAGAGATTCATAGTGTCTCATCTTTGGAAAGAATCGTGGAAATCATCGTTGAAACTTTGTGTGGATAATGGTGATGAAGCTGATGTTTGGTCTTGAAGTTTTGTATGAAAGATGATGAACTTGGTTTCTGGCTATATGATAATATGTTACTTTTGAAATGACGAGGTTCTCAGAGTGACGATGGATTCTATATATAATTGAAGAAAATTTAAAAGTGTGGCCTCTTGGTGTCATTAGTTAACCTACTAGTGGTGCTAGAGGGTCTAGCTTTCGTGCTAATGTCATCCTACAACGTTCTTGGCAGAGCGAAGAAACTAAATGATCATACAATGCATCGGGTTGCAAAAGACTGTCAAACCCAAGAGGAATTTTTGTGGTTGAACTTCTTTTGATATCACAACTACAAAAAATCATGAAGCAGGGATATTTGGCTTATGTCGAAGTAGCCGATCAAAAATAGGAAAAGAAAATCTTGAATTGCACTGGTGAGACATAAGAACAAGACTTGTTTAAGAGAAAAATGAAGCTCAAGTTCATGACAGATATTCGTGGCAGTAGTCAGGAGAGGAGAGGAGAAAACAGTGTTGAAAGACAAATTCATCATCTCAATTGAACTATCGAGGATAATCTACGGAGTACCAGATTATTCTGCGGGAAGATTCGTTTAATCGCATGAGCAAAACTCTGCGACAAATGACGTATTTAGCTGCCATAACACGCTCTCTTGCCGTCGTTCTCCAAGTTGTCGCAAATGAATACAAAACTTAGGAACCCACTTGCGGTTGCCCAAATGTTCCTGGATCTAGTCTAAGGAATGACTGCAATGAAACATTTGAGAGAGTTTGGACTGAAACTCAGATTAATTTGAAACTGTTCCTCCAAATTGACCAAGAATGGTTTTAAGGCGAGCATAATTCCCAAAAACATCAGTGACTCAACGACGATGGAATCGTATGCCAAAGTCGCTATTACCCAAATCCGCCAGAAGATGTAGCCATCTCGGTAGTGTATAAGAAACTAGCGATATTTACTTGCTTGATGAGGGCCCACAATGAATAAGAATATACTGGTACGTCGAGTTACTCGAACACTGACCAAAGTGTAACACCAACAGGAGATTACGTTGATGGGTGAGATTTTGATTCCTGTTTCTTAAGGGCGAATGCTGTTGTCCAAGGTGGCATACAAGTACGCTTGAACTGCGCTTCCATCGCCGCCTTCTTTAAAAGTCGATATTGCAGATAACGAACAGAAGGATGAGACGTCGGGACATCAATGCAGCATTCATTTACTCAATGATCTTAATATTTACAGCTCTCTGGAAAATCTAATACCTATATCCGAACACGTAGTAAGTATGTCTGCCGGGAAGGAAAATATTGTCACATATATTTACCCGGTTTGCTCCAGAATTGCTTCGACAGTCATGAGGTTGAGTTGAATGTCACTGGTGAAATCGATTCAAGATGCAGAAGATTTTCCTCCTCTGGACGCCGAATTGAACCAAAGCCATAATGAGTGATTTCTTGAAGTTAGGGTTCATGCACAATCTCGCAAATATTTCGTTTTCATATTTTGGTCGCAAACGTTGATAAAATGCCTATGTCTGCGCCGGCGTCTCTAAGATAGTTTTTGCCGGTAGCTTGGTTGATATGTTTCTCTTGATGCACGCCTTAGACATAGCGACGAGAAACGAGTGTTTCTGGAGTTAAGTCCCCCTTTAAAAGTATGTCTTGCGTGGATTGGCAAAGAAGTGAAAATCGCTCAAACAAAACTGTTTGCTAATTAATAGAGTCACAGGTAACTCTGATGAGATATTCAATTGCCATACAATGGAATCAAGCATGGAATTGTCATTCATAAAACACAGGTGGCCAAAGCAATATGCTTATGTTAAACATGAATTTTCTTTAGGGAGTAAGTATTTCTTCGTTTTTTATAGTTGCAGATGGTCTAGAAATGAATCAGACTAAAGGTGCCTGCCTATTAGACGAAATAGTATGGGATCCAATAAAACACAAGACTAAGCGTAGTCTCGAGCAAGAGTGGGCTTTCAACGAATGCGTGAAGTTGATGCTTTTTCTTGGAACAAAGTGGAAGGAGACGTCAGGATAAGCGAAAGACTCTTCAAGAAAAAATACGTCGCTGTGTCGAGGAATTCTTAAGAGAAAATTTGAAGTATCGCATAGAGTCTGGCAGAAGTCTAGCAGAAAGTCAACACTTAGCCACCGCACGTCGAAAAATTGATGATAGAACAACTAGCGGCTGTATATGTACGAATAGATGGGAATTTTCCTGACTATGATCAGACGACCATGGTTATTTCTTTATCTATGCCTACTGTCAAGTTCACCTTTATAATCAAGATGCCTCAAACACCATTTGGCAAAGGTAAATGTAATACAGAACAAGGTCTCTCATGACTGGGATACACAAAACACTGCCATAAATTAAACATAGTCCTCACCCTGGACACCCTTTCCCCAAGGATCATGGTTTCCGATTCCATCTTCGCTTCTCCTATTGTAATCCGCAGTGCTCACTACTCTTTCCTGTCTCAATCCAATAGCTCCTTCGCCACTGTTGGCATTATTGTTAGGTGCATTGCCCATCTCCCAGCTGCCGACTCTTTCATGTTTCGTGGTAGCACCAACACCAGGTCCTTTGACTATGTTAAGATCTGTATCAGATGCGAGTTTCTCGGGACCTTTGAACCCTCCTCCGCCCGCGGATGAGCCTCGTTTTAGAATCCCAACACCCCCAGCGGCGTTAGGAATTATCTTCTCACGATGGTGCATTCTGAACCCAAAGATCGCAAGAATCGATGCAATGAGCATCACAACCACCAATGTAACAACTGCTCCAATAATGCCACCAACTACACCGTTGACACCTTTTGAACGAAATGTTTTAGTGTTGTTTGAAGTGAGATTAGAAGACTCGTTACTGAGAATGGCCGCGCAGAATAATGAGATAGAGGCACAGGAACTGCACCAGGCGTTCAAATCATTGATGGCAAACTTTCCAATTTCTGTGACAAAATCATTGTACTTCATGTCGATTTCCGAATTGCCGAGATTGAATAGGGGATAAGATATCAAAGGGTCGGTGTTTGAGGTTCCGTTTCTGAATAAGAACCTGACCCATAATTCACTCGCTTCTGGGAATGAGTTGGATGAATTATATTGCGCTTCTTCAACATAACTAAAAAGCTCAAAGGCCATCATGCTTCCATATTCTGGCAATCTAGAGAAACGTTTTCTGGTGAGATCTGAGGTAGAGAGGGACGAGAGGTAAAAGAACGCTAACATTGGTTCGTAGGAACCAAAGTAAAGAGACAATTTGTCGCTGACCCCAGAACTCGAAATAGTCTGTTGAAATTGTTGAATAATTTTGGAGGCAAAAGTTTGACCTGCTATATATTGAATACTGGATCCCGTGCTAGGCGAATTAAAAGAGATAGCCTGTTCTGATGCAAAACCATTCAAAGTCTCCAGAAGACCGAATGAATTGGTCATATCATAAATAGAGCTATTGTGATTATATTGGTAAAGTGCATAGTAATAAAGGTTGATTGCGTTGCCATAATTAAGCAAAGAGCTATCGATACCGGCGAAGAAGGTGTTCGCAAGAGAGAGATAAAACTCATCAGTGCTAGCCATCATAGAGGTTGAACTTGGGGATGTCTTCGTAAATTTTGTTGCAATGTCGTAGGTCCTACATTGGTCATTCCCCGCAATCCTGTAATAAGATCAGCATACATTTCAAAAATAATGAAGGTGAGATGTGAAAAAAAAAAGGTAAAATGCCTACCAAATATAATTATAATCCATTGAACTCAGCGATTGAATATTGGGATACTGATAACCACCTAGGGGATAGTCGATGACGGTGCCATTGGCTAGAATCTATCATCGCAACACGTCTTCATATCAGTAATGACTCAGATTACAAAGATAATAGACAATGATAATCGGATATCATGGGACTGAGAGACAGGGAGACATAGAAATGAGAGCAGATTGAGATATAACACGTACACTATCTGTTCCTTGTACTCCCGTCACGGGGGGATAAAGCCCTTGCATGAAAGCTTGCGCACTCCCAACAATATACTCATCACTAGTAGTCCATACTTGTAATTGATTATTGACAATATATTGATCACTTAGGCCGTTGACGGGTAGTCCAAGAGTGAGTTGTGTTGAGGTAGAATTTAGGTAACGATCGCGAATGATAGATCCCGAGTTATAGAGTTGACTAGCCCCCAGAGGTGTAAGAACAGGAGAAGTGGCATTGATCATCGTAGGAGTGATTTCCCCATAATACGTATAAACAATGGAGGACCATGTTATGGGTACCATGTTTGACTGAGCTATGGAAAGTGAAGCCATCGAGACAATAAATAGAGTAGATACCAAAACCATCTTGATAGTGATTCTAGGCAGGCAATAAAGGTTCAATGTGTCAATTGGTGTGTGATGTCCAAAATAGCATCCAAGGTAGTCTTAAAAATCGGATTTGTGTGCAGAATGAAGTTTTGAAAAATTGTCTTCCAGAACGCTCTCAATTCTTGTGCCGAGTATTCGAATACAAGATATAAAGTGCGATGATTTTCGTCATGAATTGTACATTATGTCATTTCTTTCAGCACCTCGAGTCATTCCTTTGTGCGAAATACTTTCTCTCCTCCAAAGCCTCTCAAAACGAGTTCGTGAAAAGCTTCAAGAGCTGGATGCAGTAGGGAATGCGGGGTAAATTTGAAGCTTCGTTTGCGACAACTTTCGCGGCGAAGTATATTTTCTGATGGTATGATGAGTTAGAAATGCATAGAATGATACTGCCGACGTAAAATGCTTGGGATTGTAACTAGTAGATGATGGTAATGATCAGTATTCAAGATATCACACGCTCATTTATACCTTTTCACAAACAGTACATCGTCTAGACGGTTTGAGCCTTGAGGATCTGGTAGAAATGACGACCAACTGTGTACTTATACGTAACTGCCTTGCGATAGAAGCTCCAAACTTTAAGTGTCAACTCGGTGACTTTCGTTCAGGATTGGTATTCTTATCAAGATGCTCACTGGAGCTTCTCGCACTTACTCGAGCTTCATCCTTACCTCTTGACCAAATTGAGGATAGATTTATGCAACCAAAGATCAATCACACGATGAAGTTTACCTATTGGCTATAATTGACTGGGTGCTTGCTGGACGAGGTGTGTAGCGTCCTTGCAAGAGACCGGCTTGGAAATGTAGGAGCTCTCGGATATTGATCAATTGATTCGTAGAGCTTCTTATGGTTACAGTCCTTACAGCCGTTTTGTGGCTGGACCGTCTACCTACAAATTTGGTAGAAGATATGTTTGTGTGATATAATCGAAGCTTACCTGCCTACCCGAGCTACCGTTACCTTTGCAGTGCATTGTGTATGCTTGGCGTAAGAGCATGTGAACGCCTTTGGCGTCATACCGAAATTTCTTTCAACAGACCACCTTATCGAAATCCTTTGGAGGATCGGGGTTCTCTGAAGCTCAAAGCTTAAAGAAGCTCTCATCGATGCTGCGAAAACTCCCTCACATCTACTACGCCAGTCACAATTATCTTTTACTCGATCAAATGAACCCCGCCAAAATTCCACCATCCAAATTAGAATAGAACAGACAAATACGTAGATAAGACAAACGCATTTATGCACATGCAACTTTCAAGACTTTATCGATATGATAAGCGACCGGGAGGAGATGTTGATAATGCTTATTACATCGGCATTATCTTTGTCATATATCATATCGGTTGTAGAAATGTCATACATATATCATATCGCTTGTAGAAACTAAGGAATGGGATATGATTATGGAAACACAAAAATTAATGTGGACATAATAAGAAGACTGAACAAGAATTATCCGTTAGATTTAATGGACATGTAATTTCATTCATAAACGCTAATACTACCAAAGAACCGAGACCAGGCTCATATCGCCCTGAAAACCCCCAAAATTGTACAAATTAAAATACTATTTGCCTGATTAAAGAATCCTTAACCGAAGAGAGCATCACCCAATCTGATTCTTACAGACTTGGTTTGTGTGTAATTGCTCAAAGCTGCTTCACCTAACTCGCGTCCAATACCAGATTCCTTGTATCCACCGAATGGTACTTGGTGGTGTAGCATATTGTAGCAGTTGACCCAGACTGTACCTGCCTTGAGAGCATTGGATACACGGAGAGCAGTGTTGAGGTTTTGGGTGTGGACGGCAGAGGCTAAACCATAGTTGGAGCCGTTACCGATCTTGATGATCTCCTCCTCAGTAGAGAATTTGGCGATAGAGCAAACAGGTCCGAAAATCTCCTCTTGCATGATCTTCATGTCTTCAGTAACATCAGAGAAGATGGTGGGTTGAATGAAGTATCCCTTATCACCATGTCTCTCACCACCAGTAACAACGGTAGCGCCAGACTTCTTACCCTCATCAATATAACCCATGATACGGTCATATTGAAGTTGGGAAACTTGTGGACCTTGGAATGTTTCGTGGTGGAATGGGTCGCCGACCTTGTTGGCGATGGCACGGGCCTTGAAACTCTCAACGAATTTGTCGTAGATACCATCTTGAACGTAAACTCTTGAACCAGCACAGCAAGTTTGTCCGTGGTTAAAGAAGATACCGAAGTTGACCCAGGAGATAGCGTTCTCGATATCAGCATCGTTGAAGACGATATTTGGTGATTTACCTCCGAGTTCGAGTGTAACCTTCTTCAAATTGGATCCAGCAGCAGCCTTCATGATTTGACGACCGACAACGGTAGAACCAGTGAAAGCGACCTTGTCAACATCCATGTGGGATGCGATGGCAGCACCTGCAATCTTTCCGAAACCCGAAATGATGTTAACGACTCCTGGAGGGAAACCAGCTTCCTTGATGAGGTTTGCAGCAACAAGTGCAGAGAGAGGGGTTTGTTCGGCGGTTTTGAGAACGACGGTGTTACCAGTTGCGACAGCGGGACCAATCTTCCATGACCACATAAGCAATGGGAAGTTCCATGGAATAATTTGACCACAGACACCAATCTAGAGAAATATTAGCGATTGAACTTTGTCTGCCTGCAAGTTAAGAGATGACATACTGGTTCTTGCTTTGTGTATGTGAAGTATTCTGGGTCGGTATCGATAACCTTTCCTTCAATTTTATCTGCCCATCCACCATAATATCTTAGACATCCAGCGACGGCGGCAACGTCACCCTTTGCCATTGAAATTGCCTTTCCGTTGTCTAACGATTCGACAGCTGCCAATAGATCGGCATTCTTCTCAACCAACTCTGCTAACTTGACAAGTAATTTGCCACGACCTTCGGGTGTAACTTTGCTCCATTCTCCTTCGTATGCTTTTCGTGCAGCTGCGACAGCGATGTCGACGTCTTTTTCAGTGGCTTCGTGTACGGAAGTGATGACTTCTTCAGTGGCAGGGTTGATGACTTCAAAAGTCTTTCCGTCAACACCTTTGACCCATTCGTTGTTGATGAACCTGTTGTGATGAGATACTGTTAGCTGTTGTTTGACATCTTGTTCCGGGTGCGGGGTGCGGGGTAAATAATGAGAGATCTTTGGATAACAACATACAATCCTGTGGGCTGAGTATATTCGCCAGTAAGTGGCGTCTTGAGTTGAACTGAAGTCATGATGGGTATCTGATTGCAACGCGCGATGAAAGTATGTGTTCTTGTATATATTTGATGTGGTATGTGAATCGATTTGTTTGAACTGTGGAAAGTTAAAGAGGAATGAAAGAAAGAGACGGGAAACAGACGAGGTGAGGGGTCGGGTAATGGGTTTAAGTAGTAGTAAATGGACAATTGCCTCCTTTCAAGAGAATTATTAATTACAGAATGTAGATCCAAGCTAACGATATCTAAACCCGAAAGCAACCTTGAAGGGAGGGAGGCGGAAGCATGGTGGCATCAATACTCGGCAAATGTCTACGTATACTAGGAGACTAGTAGCAGGTATTCACAAGGTTTCTCGCTACAATTACAATTAGTCAAATTGGTGAGACGCGGGGTGGGTATTTGAATGTTATCTTGGCCATAATCATGAGGTAACCTGGTAAACTGGTAGTGGTAGCTCCTGGGCGGTCATATCCCATGGAGGTTGAGAGAAATTGATTTGCTATCGCTGTCTTTGGAGGGAGATACCGACAGCTTGAGTGGAACGTGTCTGTAACATGCAGGCCGATGCAGCTCCCAAACCATTACATATATTCCCACATTTCACCCTATCCCATTCTCTGTATTTCTAGAATCCGGACCAAAAGGGGAATATAGGTGAATCTGGCCCGGGTTCATTTCCAAGAGCTTCCCAACTTATCCAGAGGCTGAGAAGACCAACTTTGCATCAAACTTCATCTACTCCGTACGGAGAAAGCACGAGGTGTTTGCCTACCTACCTACCCCACCTACTTAATACCTAGCGCGTGCTTCATGCTCCACACTTTCGGTGCCATTTGAGGGTTGAGGGGTAGGGGTAGTTCTTAAGCCGTCATGCACAAACGTCTTTAATATCATCCAATCATTTCCATTATCCCAATGTCACAGATCCATTGATACACTACACTGCGCGTAAACGTTCCGTATGCCCTTAAAGCATCAATTGATAATTGGTAATAAGTCTATTTATTACCTGGGAGGCAGGAGGCAGCTGGCTCGAGTTTGATATTCGATGTACAGAGGGGGTAGCGCGCTCGGGTAGGTGGGGACCTGGTAATGATCCACTGATATGTCACCCTTTACATTCAGGAAGTCAAATCAGTCAAATCAGTCATATGTTACCCCTCATTCACGGAGATCGCTACTACGACTAGTGGCGGGACCTTAATGGAATGGGAAGGTACACCCATCCTTACATTCTATTATTTCTTTCTAAATCTGATCCACACCATTGATGTAGATACTCCCGTAGTCGAGAAACCAGCTCGAGCCTCCCTCCTGACTCCTGAGCCTCCCTTGAAAGATATACGGAGTAGTAGATTCGATTGATGAGTTAAATAAGGTTCGGAACCGTACTACCCAGGCTCGCCAGGTACTCATCATGTGCCTTTTATCAAGTGCATCCCCAACTTCCCTATCTCCTAACGCATGTCATGACAGCACAGGTAGTAAATGCCATACAAAATACCTATACTGCCTTTTCTTCATTGTATTTCTCTGCTGTGGTATGGCTGTATTTCTTCAAGCCCTTCTCGGTCGATCGGGTTAACGTAACCTCGGTCTCCGCATTTTCGTGGCATTGTTCCCGCGATCTTCTCAGCTTCTTGTCCAAAGGTGTCTACGTAGTTGAAAATGAAAAAGAATAATCACCGATAAAAAGAATGGAAATTCGGTGATAAAATCTCACAATCACCATGAACACCGAATGACTGGGCGATTACTAGTTGATATGCAGAAGCCATTGGTTTATCGTTTCATTCCATTATTGGAGAACCAAAGCTGGAGAGCCAGCGAGCCAGCCCAGCCTCCCAGCCAAAAGGAAATCAAAGCGTTTCCCTTTCTCCAGATTTCGTTCCGTATTCCGTACCTGGGAGCTGGGGTCATGGGGGAGCGGACGGAATTTCCGCGCACGCTTTTGGTAATCAACCTTGATTTACGAGGTCGGTTCAACGATGAAGTACGGAGACTCTCACTTGATGCCGTTTGTCAATCGGGAATTGAAAATTTGTAAATTCCAATAACGACGTATCGTTTTGCTTCACTCGGCGAACCCGTTCTAGTTTATATTGCCCTTTTCACAAGAAAACTCTAAACACCAAGAGAGACGTGTCATTATACCTCATTCTCTGTACTTCTTCGTCAAAAATTCGGTTACTATTCGGATCTATCCCAACTTCATGCTCTGGTTCGGTCAAATTGTGGACATGATGAGTTGGACACCCATTCAATGGATATCAAAAGAATTGAGATGATGGACGACCACCTACTACTGTAAACCAACGCCTCTTTCTACGTGCTTGCTGATTGCGTCCAGCTGAACCTCTATGAGTTTCGGCTTCAAGATTCGATCAAGACTCACTGTCTATTGATGGGTGCTACGTATCGACTCGAGATCATTCACGAATCAAGGCTCAAGACTTACTGGTTGCCCGTCTAAGCATCAGCAGTTCGACGATGTAATCATTCACTTACCTGGGTATGTAGGATATCTTGAATGTGGTATCTGATAAAACTCGACATCCTTTGAGTAATCACCTCCATCCCACCATACACAAATTTTACATGGGGCTTGGTCGGGTATAATTAGTGATTGTACTCTTTTGGAAATTGTGTAAAAGGAATGAGGTTAGCCCTCGGACAGATGCAGTGGAGGTAAGATCAAACAAATTCGTGTGGAAGCTAGGCTTGGGCGAGTGAGTTGCTAGAAGGTTGGACTTGGGATTTCTCCGTAGTAGTCTCTACTTGGTTCAGCTACCCTTCAACATGGTGAGGGCCGAGAGAGCATATTTGCAAGAGCTCTGTATATCAACAACCTACTTGCAATCTGGACTATTTGAATGGCAGAGTTCGTGAAAGATCACATGCGTCGTCCTCAAGAAAGCATTTTCTATTCAGATACTTGCGAGGTTAAATGGAAAAGAAGAAGTGCTCAGTCTCAACTCTTCAGAGACCTCCATTGCCAAAAGAATAAGGGAAATGGTAAGAATTCGAGGCAGGTAAGAAAGTATCATCCCATGAAAACATGGACGGAGACATTTCCTTCTAGTAGATTTCCCAATGTACCCATCGGTGAACATTACTCGAGATATTTCAACCACAGTGCAGGTTCGATCCATATCTGGGGAACTCCACGCAGATAGCATTGACGACAATAGGATAGTTGAGATCAATCAATGCGCCAGGTATTGACCGAGACAGCAGACAAGCAGTTGTAAACTACATCGACGACAAAATCTCCCCTCCTTCCCAAGATTCTATGTAGAATGAGAAGGGAAATGACCATGTGTAAGGTGCAAACACTATGTCATTCCTAACTAGGTATCAACATTACTTCAATTCATTATCACGCACAGATTCCTCTCCCTGGCTATAGCAAGTGAAACTCTGATGATTATTCTATGCTTGTATTTGGTATGCTAATATAATAATATTTGACTGCCAATCCTTATCTTGAGGAAAAGTTTCTATACTCGAGTAGATGATAGATAAATGATTTTTGTAGTTGAACCCTTTTACCACAAGATGATATGCAATTAAAAATTATGAATTTCAAGAAAATCCCCAGTCATTGAGATTATATTTGCAATATTCAGCAGAATATATTCATAATAGATAGTATCAGTGAATATTTTTCATTCTTGTCTTCCTTCTGTGTATCTATCATTTAAACGGTTGAGATTTGTCTGATTGGGTTTTAGGTCTCAATTTTCAGGGCTAAAATATCACATGACGGATAAGTTAATGACGCTTGTTTAATCTAGATACGGTATGAATGGAAAATTCTCTGTTGCGCGCATACAAATAATCTTGCATGATCCAAAACAAGAGATATCTCTTCCAAATTTTCATGCGACTTCGACCATGGCAGATTCATCTATGAACTCATTCACAATGGCTCCTACTAATGATGGTAAGTTTATGGAGGTGATGACGACCAAGGTCGAAAGGCAACCTCCTACATTCAAGCCAACCCCATTTTTCCCTTTCACTTCGTCGTCCTAACAACTTGTCTTCGCAGATGTTCCGATAAAACTCGAGACCTCTCATAACCTCTCATCCTCTCCTCAATTATCTGCATTGAAACGAAGAGTATCATCGACAGAGTTGGAATCACCAGAAAAGAGGCAGAGGATTGAATTCGAATCGGCGCAACCACAACTTTCCATCCCTGATTCTGCCAATGAAATTGTCGCTATACCACCCGCAGATGATGTAGATGATGGCTTGGGGGATCTCGATATCGACGCTATCATTGCCTCTGGTGTTGCTCATGTCTCAGCCGAGTACCAAGATGCGGGAACTATGGAACTGAATGATCATACCTCCCATCAAGACCAATCGCATGACGCCAACATCAGTACACTTTCTCCTCCGAAAACTCCTCATGCTCAAATCCGACAACCGAACAGTCGTGCTGCCTACGAACGACTCCGGACCGATCATCAATTGTCTCTGCAGGTAATAAGTCTAATGTCATTGGAATGTTTGGTATGGTTGTCTTGAATATGAAAATGTATGGATGGCTCTAATTCACCTTCAGGCTGTGCAAATGTTAAATATTCTTTCCGAAGGAGGATACGATGAGATAGTCGTCATGGTAACGCAAAGAGATACTGCTCGTGGACTCTCATTCCAAACATTGAACGATCTTTTCGACAAAACAAAAAGAATTTATGGAACTTCAACTTTTCTCTCTGCCGACGAACTCAATATCATAGACCCAGCTCAACGAGAGATTATCAGACTTGCAAATCATGCGACTTTTGTATCCAGCGTATTTGGTGGACAAGAGGTTGGATTTTATGAACTTAATGAACATTTCGTCAACACCTGGACTCGGGAAGGAGAGGCCATATCGAAAGCATCGGGCCAATTGCTCATGAACTTGAAGACACAAATTATTGTTGCAGCGCTATCAATGGAGGAGTCAGACAAACCTGTCGAGGATCTTATAGATGAGATATTTTCTCCAGAGTTCCGGAATCTTCTCTCCCAAAGACATCCCTATCCTCTCACAGATGATGAGCTACAACTACTCGTCGATTTAGATATTAGAAGAGTGTATTTGATTAACCAAGGAAATGATCCCGCCAAAATTAGTAAGATAATTCCCGGCATTACTTTTCTCATACTGACCAATATGCAGAGGAACTTAGTGATCTCTTCAACTGGGATTCTTTTCTAAGATCCACCCATATTCATATGGATGCTTATAGACCATTGGTAGAACCTTATATGTCTAAATATGGGCTCACGATCCCCACTTCGACCGGATACTCGCAGGGTTCAAATGGTGGTCCGTCGAATGGAAATGCTTTTGCATACGTTGGCACTAATGCAGATACTGAGCATACAACTCAAAACGTCCCCGAAGATGCAGGCATATATCAACAATCGACTACTCCGCAGAATGGTATGCTTGTACCAACTTCATTTACAATCCCTGACTAATTTAATTCAAAGGCTATCGTCAATCTCAATATCAAACTACCTATCAACCACCCAATCAATCACCTAATACTTACTCAACTCAATATAATACTACTACATCTACAACTACGCCTCATCATTCTCAATCTGAATCTACCTCTGCTCTTTACGAAAAAGCTAGACAAGCTGCAGCTGCAAAGAATAATCCGGGACAGAAAGCTAGACCTGGACTGCCATCTCAACGTCGTCCATGGAGCACAGAAGAAGAAAATGCCTTGATGGCAGGTCTCGATTCGGTCAAAGGTCCACATTGGAGTCAAATACTTGCTCTTTACGGCGATAAAGGATCAGTCAGCACTATTTTGCGCGATCGTAACCAAGTTCAACTGAAAGATAAAGCGCGAAACCTTAAACTATTTTTTCTCAAGAGTAATATTGAGGTTCCATACTATCTTCAATGTGTGACTGGTGAACTGAAGACCAGAGCACCAACTCAAGCGGCCAGGAAGGAAGCGGAAGAAAGAGCCAGACTGGCAGGGAATGAAGAAAGCGCAAGATTTCATGGTGTATTGGCATTGGCTGCAGGTATGCAGAATTCAAACCAAGAGAATGGAAACGGAAGTCCCTATCAACAAACTCCAGAACCTATGGAAGATCATAAAAGCGGAAGCAATAGCCCCGAGATATTGCAAGTCGAGGAATCCAGACATGACGAATCACAACAAGTCGAAAGTCATCACCAAAATCTGGAAATGCAGGAAATGAATGTGGAGGATAGATTGAGACAGCAGTTGTTAGCTGCTACCAATATCTAAGATGGTGATCCTTCTTAATGATTGATGGGACGATATCTGGCGCAATTTGGAGTGATGAATAATTCCTATATCTGCGAATGGTGTATGGGGAGGCCAGGGGTATGCAATGGGATCTGCCAATTTTGTGAATAATAAGGCGTTGGTGGTTGACTGCCTGTGAGGTATACTTGCATAATCATGTAACATGTGCAAATTTCGTCATTTTCTCGGACTTGCCAAAAGCGGTACATATCACGGGTCTACATAGCAAGATTAATCGGATGTTGGAAGAATTATGACGAATGTCATTGTAGATACGTGTACTTCACATTTGTGATCTGTACCCAAGTCAATTCAAGTGTTTATGAGCTGTTGAGGGGTAAAACATTTGACAATGCATGCATGGAATTCTTGAAGATGATATCAAAGTTGATCGATTAGATGGGGCGAAGAATTCTTTTGACCATGAATTTGTTGTGAATCAGGAAAGCTCTCTACCAATGCAATGCTCTCACTCAATACGATCACCGCCTCATGGAATTCCAAAGTTCATCGATCACAAAATTCAGGCTTCGTAATAATTTATTTCTAATTGTCCTATAGAGAGCCCCAAAATCATTCCATGCATGACTACCTACCTGACTACATATATCTGGTGTTTCTTCAACTTGCGCTTACCGAATGGCGATTGTTCCTTTAGTCATACTCGCATGCAACAAACTTGAATGGCATGTCCCGTGTATGTTGATTTTGATTAGATTGATCGCATGCAATCAATGCCCATAGAGTATTGATAAGAATTATCCAAAAATCTCGCCCGTTTGACAAACCAGTCCATGGTAGGCTTTGCAAAAGCAAGTGTACCTCTTCCAGTGACGATAGGATCGCAGAACGAATGCATCCTACCCTGACAACTGTTATAAGAACAGTTTCCCTCATGTGCTTCGGACATATCACTTGTTCCATAGACAGCGACCTCTTTTACATACCTTAAATCCCTAAATTCAGTCTCCAGGAACATCGTAAGAGACTTTTCAAAGACAGTAAGACATTTTCCATCTTTCTCATCAATAAGTATGTCATCTTCCCCCCAGGCTACTAGGGTGACTTTCCATACCTTGGGGCATAAAATATTGATGATGTAAGTGTATATTCGCATACTCTGAACCAAATCTTCGTGACAGTCAGGATATCTAATCGAACTATGTGATTTGACTTGTCCGCTGAAATTCAATCTTTGAAGTTCAGCTGAGTTATCAGGTCCGATTGTTAAAAGAAATCTGACAAATGGGTCACACCATGCCCATGCTGGAAGTTCTTTTAAATTGGATTGGGTTTTAATGCAGGAAATAGCCCTGTTGACGGATCGTTTCCATCCCCTCGTGTTCCCTGGATCATAGATTGGCTGACGGAGCCATGGATAATACTTTATACCTCTTTCTGCAATCAAACCAGCTGGACTGTCACCACAATTTAAGTTTCCTGTCGCAAACTCCAAAGTGTTTTGTCCGTACAATAACTTTGATCCAATGTATTTAAACGATTTACACACTTTTAAATAGGAAATATCGAGAACAGGAGAGTTATTCTTTCCCCATTTGCGACAAGGCCCTCTCTTGTTGTAGCACATCGGATGCAATCCGTATCTTGCATTACATAAACGATTCTTGATCAGACTCTTGCCATGACTTCGGGAAGGGAACAACATGTAATCAGGCTGTCCATGACATGGCATCAAACTAGAGGTAATTGTAAATGGTACAATGGTGTCCTCTGAAGCTACCATTACGAATTCCATAACCCGGTCAAGAATATCTACCACAATGTTAGTGATATTATTTTGAAGACAGATCATTTCTAGGCAAAAAGAATAAAGCTTACCCGCTGGAAAGCTTAAAATATGCCGTGGGTGATTCTGGGGCAAGTTCCAGTCATACCAGGCCCTAGACTTCTTCCCATGATCATATCTCTTCGAATCCCTCGCTTGCCAGTTTTGTACCCAAGGTTTATGCTTCGACGTGTAATGAACTCCCCTTGAGCTGGGATGAATATGGTCAGGATACCTGCCATAAGCTGTATTCATACGAACAACGGAGGAATAGAGTGTTTCCTTCTTCTGTTTCAATTCTATGAGAACAGCTTCCAGTTAGTTTGTGCCATTTGTAGTAATGTAGGAAGCAAAACTTACCATCGGCAACGGTTTGCTGTCCGCCATTTGGCTTGGTCCAGGAATCTAGAACCCATTCTTCGGAAATATATTCCCACAAAGCAAATAAAGGGAGAACGTGAGGATATCTTCCTCGAGCCGCCTTCATTGTTCCATCGTACGAAAGATCATTATCAGGATTGGTGTCGACTCGGTCCAAATTAATTCTATCCAGGTATGTCGAAGCCCAGTATAGCCTTGCGCATTCAGGATCATCTTGGGTCAAGGATGCCTGCGACTCAATATATAGAGTAATAAAGTCCATTTTGTTTACCATGGATGTGATAACTTGAAAGACTCAGACTTAAATGCGGATGAAATTCCTTTGGAGTAAAGTAGCTGTAATTGTCATTCTTAAATAGTCCCAGAAGTCGTCAATACTGTATCAAATGCAGCATGAAACAGGATAGTCATAACCTTGGAAGCCGTAGATGGAACCAGGAACCGTACAAATCGTATCCATATTACTATCAAACCAAGAGTGAATATATAATTCTCATAAGTCTTGCGCCTCACCGGTGGTCCACACGTCTATCTAGTGATTGCTCTGAATTTGTAGATATATATACAAGCTATATGGTCATAATACAGCAAGCAACACTTAGATATCAAAATCTTCTATAGTCTGTCATAGATAAAAATCAGTCCATCTACAGAATCTGATGTTAATGTAGGTAAGTTTTACTTGCTTCGAATTATCTCTGAGCAGCCCACTTGAGGTTGTGGTAAACACTGAGTTGCTGAATTCGTGAGTCAACTCAAGCATCTCCGCCGAACGAGGTTATCCAAAGCGGGGGACTTCAATGAACTTCACGTTGAAAAGCTGTTAGTAAAATTCAAAAGAAGGCTATTTCCCACTCTTCCGCAATAAAACGTTCGACAAATAAGGTTGCCTTACAATGCAAAAGCAGAGAAAAGGGGAGCATCATATGTAGTTCACTTGATCAGATTCTGAACTCTATGTTTTGCTGGTTGATTATCTACAGATTATCTGTCAACCTCATTATCCGCCCTGTGAGTGCGCGTTGCGTAGCCTAGGCATTAGGGTTTACAAGCGACTTGAACATGATGGACATTGCTTCGTAGGGGTAGACACTACGGGTACACCTAGCAGTTAAAAGACTCCAAGTAGTGAAACAACTATTTCCTGTCCCGTTGTCTATGCTAGGCTAGAACTTACTACTAATAGAAACAACTAGTGTATAGATAGATCACGGCGATTGATATGATTTTAAAGTTATATTTCTCCAAATCTGATAATGTTTTTGTGTCGAAATTGCATGAATGCCTCTGATAAGTGCGGCCCACTTGAAGGCGAAGGTACAACAGCATATCTCATCTGTACAAACAAGGGTATTTACTTCAAAGGAATGACTTCAATACAATGACTACCCCTATGGTGGCAGAGTCAATGTCTATGTATAAATAAAATGTTAGTATAAATTCCTGTATAAATATTTGATATATATATTATTGAATTCAAACTTTTTTTAATATCATTATTAATAGAATATTAAAATATAGTAATAAGTTAAAAGATTTTAATAATATATTATTTACTAGACTATTCAATTTATAGTATAAAAAGAAATAAAATGAAATCTGAAATTTTTTAATCTATTTTTAAATCTTAATTTATATTTTATTCTTCAAAGATATTCCTTAAAAGAATCTCATTTCATACTTATTATAATTTATAATCTAATCTAATTTACTGATAGTATTTTTAAGAAATTCTTAGAATTATAGACTACTTAGTAAAACGGTTTATAGATTATTTTCTCGCTAAATTTATTAATAGATTCGCTACGCTATTCAAATCTTTTATAATTAATTCAAACTGACTTCGCTTAGAACGCATAAAGTCATCGTCTTCGAAAATTTCAAGAGTTGTAGCAACAAGCTTTTTAATCTGAGTCAACTGACTCAAGTCTGAAACTAGCATATCTACCGCCACATTGTAGGATGAGAGCCAGGCTTTGGTGCCTACTTTTCCTACTCGCGAAATAAGATCGATAGTTTGAGCTCGAATAGGGCTCAGATCAAGGTCTATAATCAGTTTCGCAATATCATCGAGTAGGTTATCCAGAAGCATCGCTAATGCCGGCACGTGTTCATCCTGAAGCCTTCTTTTTGCATCAAGTAAGTGGCGCGCCTTTTTGGGTGTCAGAACCTCAGGTTCGTCTAGCGCTGTAATTTTACCATTCAACAACTGAAAGTTTCTCCGGTGTACATTTTCCATTTCGGCTGCCTTTTGACCAAGATCAACGGCGGTTAAGTAGGCTTCTTTCACTTTTGAAGAAGCAAACTTGGGGTATTTCAGGATCCCGATACGATAGGTCTCAAGTTTGTTTCGGATCGAAGGGTTTGACAAATGGCCGACTGCCTTCAAGCTGTCGGTTATATCTTGGCCGCTGCTTAGCCCGATGACGGTATCACCACCTGGGTGTCTCTGCATAAAAGTGCTCGCATCGTAAACACTTCCCTCGGCCGAAAACCAATACCCAATTTCTTCCGAATTATTTTTTATTAGTTCGGACATAAAGAAATTATTTAAACCAGGTCTGTTACTTGTCAAATGTTCATCTCGATCAAGACTTCTCCGTTCTAAGCGTGCTTTTTCCAATTCCTGATCGGCTTCTAGCCAAGGCTTATTCCTGCGCCTGCGGCCTAGACCATTGATAGTTGTATCTCGACCGATCCTGAATGAGACAGCAAGGAAACCCAACACTTTTCTCCGGTGAGCTCCCAATAGACCGTCTTTACCATGGTAAGCGGATGTAAAAGCGTCCCAGATTTCCATCAATTGTCTATCCTTTGAGGTAACGATGTACTCCGTGATAGAAACTTCCCTGATAGCCTCAAGGAACTGTCGCCAATGAATGGGATATATAGCTCGAACAGCTTTCGCTTCTTTGCCGATACCCGTCTGATATTCAGACCGTCCAGTAAATTCATCCATCATGTGGAAGAAGGGGTGCGCTGTGCCTGCAGCCCCTACCACGTCTTTCAGCCAAGGAATTCCTAAATTCGCTACAGTGACCGTCCAAATGAGAGGATCAATATGACTCTTGTGAGATCGATTCGCATGGATCTTCTCTAGGGTTCTGGTGATCTGTTTGATTAACGTGTGGAGGTTTTGTATTGCATCTTTCAGCGAAGAAGAGTTTCGAGCCAAGACAGATCTTTGAGCCTCAATGATCTGATGAAGGATTGGTATTGCTTTAGCGTTCATTTCAATCATTATTCCAAAGAACGTACGCTCTTCTATGTTGCCGACTGTTGGAACGAGCAACTCCAAATTTTCCAGCATCACACCGCTATATGACAAGCTAGTTGATTCAAAATTTGCTACCATCATATCAATTAAGGTAAGAGCTGGAGTTGATCGCCCAAGACGTTCACACACGATAGCCCACGGAATAACAAGTGATGGCGGTAGTATATCGCTATGGCGATCATATTTCAATGTAAGAGGCTCGCTTCCTTCCAGGCGAACAAACGCATGAGCTGTCATTCCGAGGATGGTGGCAGCCCGCTGGAGATAGAGCTCAGGCAAAGATTTGGCGGAAGCGTCAAGAAGTGGCATGTTGGTGACAGTTTCTCGGACAGTCTGTGTTTTGACAAGGTGTGGTAACGTAGCAGCAAGTTGGTCCCATACCGCATGAGAAGGTGGAAGTGCCTTTATTGTTCGTAAGGGTGAAAATCCAGCCCTCCTAGACAGAAATCCGGAATTCTCGTGTCCATGGCAATGATTTGTCCGCTCTGCCTGCTCGATTATTACCTCACAAGGCGGCGAGATAGAAGGACCCTAGAGGATATCAGCAGACGAATCTTCGGGAAATACTTAATGCAACAAGGTACACACGTGAGTTTTAGAACAATTCAGTATCCCTGAACGTAGAATAACAAACAGAAAAACAATTCCAAAAGCCCAATTAACGTTACAGGGTGATAAGATATCTTTTTGTAACAGCCAGAAGTCTTCAAAAAATGTACTGAGATCGCTGTACGCTACACTGGGCAATTCACAGATAATAAACATTTTAGGCGAATTTTTCTACAATTGATTGTAATATGATATCTGCAAGCATGGAGCTTTGGTTCGTGATAAATACTCTTAGAGTGTACAATTCTCAACTCACTGGGCTGAGACCTCTAGATGAGACCTATCATGCCATTGCATTTGATCTACATTTGATGATTGCGCACTCTAGTAAATGTCTCAAACGATATATATAGATATATAGATCACCTGTGTTTTACAGCTCACCGCTAATTACGTCTTGAATATTACATTTACTATGATTGTAACTAAGTCGGGTACCCTACTTTCGGGCCACCCCTGTTTTGGGCCACTTTTCAACTACTTTTCACACCAAAAATGGAATTTTTAACTTTATTATTTATGAATAGAATTTATTGAAAATTTATACATATATAATTTAGATCGATCTAAGTTTATTCTGAAATTTTCAGATTTTTAGGATTTTTCTGTATCGAGATCTAGAGCTTCAAAATATCGATTTTTTAATTTGTATGGGAATCCTATACAAATTTAGAAATTCTATAAAATCTTTAATAACGTTCTAATGAAAATTGCTAAAAATAAATTGTAAAATTTTATTATAAATTTATAGTATATTCAACCTAATAGATTCAGAAAAAAGAGAAAATCTATTTTAAATAAATATTTATAGGGGTACCCTCAAAATAACAGGGATTATTTATATTACTTTAAACTCACCATATACTATATTTCTATGTTTATTAATTTTTTTGAATTTTTTTGAATTTCTATATAGATTCAAGTTTAAATATTTCAAAAATATATATGGTTTTCTTTTAATAATTGTTATTAAAAAGTTATTAAAGATTTTATAAAATTTCTAAATTTGTATGTGATTCCTATACAAATTAAAAAATCGATATTTTGAAGCTCTAGATCTCGATACAGAAAAATCCTAAAAATCTGAAAATTTCAAAATAGGCTTAAATCGATCTAAAATATATACATAAAAATTTTCATTAAATTATATTATATATTGATAGAGATATTAATAGGCCTAAAAAGTGATTTTTAGTGTGAAAGGGTGGCCCAAAACAGGGGTGGCCCGAAAGTAGGGTACCCGACTTATAGATTTGCTTATTCTCTTATATAGTTCTTGGGATGAGAACGCGTATATACACTTCAACTTGATGATAGTGTATTCTAGTAAATGTCTCGAGCAATACGTATAAATATGTTGATCACTTGTGTTTCACAACTCACCGCTAGTTACACCTTGAGTGTTACTTCTATTGTCACGGTAACTATACATTTGCTTATTCTTTGGCATATGTCTCAAGATGAGTAACGCGTACATACGCTCGAGTATCAATAGCCTTAATATTTCACTGACCAACCGATCACAAAAACTTGCAATTGCCCCGTAATTGCTCCACCTGAAATTGATATGAAATGCATATATACTATCATAATGGGGCGTATAAAAGATACGTCATATCTACTACAATGACGCCCAGGACTTGAGGTAGGGTATGTGGAGTAGGGAAAGCAGATGGCGTGTATAGCTTGTATCGTCTGAGGGTCTTATCCCACTCAGAGAGTGCCATCTTTGGGTTAAGGGATTAAAGACACATTATCTTATAATGAAGGGTTCAGGATAGAACATTGGCGCAGCTAGTCTAGACATTCAGTCCAGACGTTCATTAAAATCAGCATTATTGTCAGAATCATTAAACAATGTTGATATTTACTACATACATACACTCACAAAACTATGTTACTAGAATTTAATGGTCCAAGCGTTCGTAGGTGGCTATATATAGTTGTTTGAATGAATGAGAGTGTAACACATGAGAAAAATAACGACTAATGCTTAGCAAACTTTGCTCCAATTTGGTCTAGTATAGCCGCATGATCTTTACTGTAAGTATCACCATCTCTGGTAATCACTCCATGCACCCAAGAGCCACGAGGGTGAAATGAAGCCTTGAAAGGTAAAGCCCGCATGACAAAGCCGTAGGTACACGCAAGAGGATCAATTGGGACGGGCTTGCCTGTCTCAGACAAGCCAGCCTTGATGTCGAATGACCATAGTAGTTGCGCGACGACGACCCAGATGATATCACGGGCAAAATGCCGTCCAGGACATATCCGCCTTCCATAACCGAAGCCGGAAGACGGTATATCTTTGAGTGTTTTACCGTCCTCCTTGAGCCAGCGATTTGGTATGAAATTATCAGTATCTGGGCCAAACAAAGCCTCTTCCCGAGAAATTGCCCATGCATTGGCCATGATGATAGATCCCTTGGGAATAGTATATCCGTTGTAAGATATTTCTTCCTTGTTTAAGTGAGGGACTCCCTCTGGGACAACGGGTCGCCAACGAAATACCTCCTCCACGATAGCAGTGATATACGGTAAGTTGGGCTTATCATCTGGAACTGGGAATCGACCGCGCCCCACAACAGCGTCCAGCTCTTCGCGTGCAGTGGCTGTGAAACCCCGATCTTGAGTGATACACGCTACCACAAACCAGAACAAACTATCTGTAGTTCCATCTAGGCCAGCGTCAATCAAAGTGCCAAGGTCGAACGCCAGCTCATACATAGACATCGAAAAGCTATCCTTTTCGAGACTCTTCCTGAGCTGCTTTGATATATTCCACGAATTTGAATCCAGACCACGCTGAAGGTTTTTGTTGCGAATGTTGTATTTGGTCTTATAGTGATTCTCTGCTTTTGCTTGCCAAGGGGCTAAGAACCCGGGTAGATTGTTAAGAACAGGGAACTGGTCAACAATATGCGCGCCAACCTGTATGAACTCTGAGAACTCATTATTGGCCTCAACAATAGCTCGAACCATCGGGTCATTTTGGTCTTTAATACGAAAGCCATGCAGCAGTGTGAAAATGACGCTGGCAGTTGTGCGGTGAAAAAGGCCTCGAACATCAATACCAACCCTGCCCGCACTACCTGCACTGCTCAGCAGGTCGTACATCAATTGATGCGACTCCAAAGTGTGGATGGGATGATATGCAGCTGCCTGAGTCGCGCTCAGCACTGAGGCGTGTAGCCTCTGATGTTGTCGAAATTGCTTGGTGTAATTCATCATAAGGAGATTGAACCCTTTCAAGGCCAGCTCCGTCGCCAACTGCAAAACCCCGACCAAATTAGCTCATATTCTCTGTTAATGCACCCAAAAGAGATGAATTCGCAACAGGGTGCGTAAAATCTTTATCTTACAAAAAGGCGAGGTCGGTCTGAACAAACAGCTCCGCGCTCCGCCAAGACGTCACGGGCTGCTTCATTTGTAGACAAAATGATGATAGACTGGCCAAGGATATTGACATAAACAATCGGCCCATACTGTTTGCTCCATTCACAATACGTCCTCCAGCCGTGCGTCTTAGGAGCTTGATGGGCATTGCCAATTATCGGCAATGGCTTAGGGCCAGGTGGCAATGGCAAGGCCGAAATTGATTTGCGCCGCGTAAAAATATACACGCTTACTAACAGCCCGGCAAATACGACTGCGCAAGCTGTTGACCACATCGTAATTGAAATACGCTGAAATCGACAGAACAAAAAACTTTGTGAACAAGATTCAAAATTTTGACAGTGGAAGCAGGCCAAGTACTTATAATTAGCCAACACTCTCATTGGGCAGGCCATCCTTCCTCGATGCGCCCAAGGGGTAGAAAAAAATAAAGATAATCAAAGCAATCTTCTTGACCACAGGTCTCACTATGTCTGTTTCACAAAGCTGTCTGTTTAGAACTTTTGAAGCAAAGCTAAGGGCCCCTTGGGAGTGTAAAGCTCAAAACTTGTGAATCTGATTCAGAGTTTGAATGATCATTCAATCGGTAAGTCAGATCTTATTTGAAATATGAGTAGTCATGATGTAGTTGATTCAGAAGTTGGTCTTTTTTTGAAGCTTAGTTGATACTAAGAATAAAATCTAACCTTTTCAGTGATATTTTTCATCGTGTCGATAAACAAAGTCTAAATAAGACTTCCTAAACCCTACGCGGGGACCTCTTTACAGCGTGAAAGTCCTAGGTAAGGCACAGGTGTCTTTAGGGAGCTCCTCAGTTGACCTGACTTTACATGAGTCCCACTGCAAGGTGTGAAAGGTATAGTATCTCGCGACTAATAGTAAAAAGCGAACACCAAACCTATAAAAATTATTTTGGATTTCGAATCAAAGTAGATTATTTCGAAACTTATAATTTATATTATATCTTTAATCTATTCAATTTATCTTGTTTATTTAAAGTGATTATTCAATTTTGAGGTATTAGTATTTTAAACAAAGTCTCGATTTTAACAATTTTAATATATATATATATATTAGAGTAAGACTTATTTCAACACCGGCGAAATAACAGGGGGGTGGGGGAGGGGGGGAGATTGATTATTTTTAATATTACTATGGGGACGGTGAAGTTAATATAATATTATAATTTTTATTATAATAATATTACTTAAGATTCTAAAAGCTAAAGTCTATAAAGTATATATACTATAATACCGGGGCATTAGTGTAAGCGCTAGTGTAGTCATATAATCCGAATTCCAAAAATTATTATTTAAAAGAACTTTAATAATTCGAATACGTTTTCGGAGTAGTATAAAATAACTAACTTCTCAATTTTTAATCAAAAGCAAACGCTAATTTTTATTTAATTTCTCTAGATTTTTATATTCATTTTGAGATAACTTATTAATTTATGAATTTAATAATATTACAATAAATTTAAAACTATTAACTTATATCAGTTTCTTTGTTTATATAAAAATGTATTCCTTTTATTAAATTCTTTTAAAAAGTTTACTTAAAACTAATAAGAATTATTACTTTAAGATTAATAATTTAGAGAATTAAATAAAATCGACTTATATTATGTATATAGAATATCTTTATAGTATATGTTATATATAATATTAGTATATTATTAGAGAATAATATAATAGAATCATCAGTGGGTACACCGACTTACGGAATACTAAAGAGGGAAAGTACAATTTTACATCAAAAAGAGCTGTTTTGATAATTCGATTAAAGTTTAAAGTTTCAATGAATTTATTTGAAAATTGGAAATATAAATCTAAAATATGAAAATTTTACAAGATCTTCAAATTGAATTAAAAAATTCAACATTGATATTTTTATAAAAGAATATATAATTCCCCACCAAAATTTTTAGTGGGAAAACGCACTATTCGTTTTTTAAGCTCAAATCTTAATTTATTTGGATCTTTTTTGTCTCAATTATTTTCCCAAGCTTGAAAAACCACATATCTTGATATCAAGAGAATTTGATGATAGATTGAATTTCAATTCAATTATTAAAACAGTTCTTTCTGGTATGAAATTGTAAGAGTTGAGGCCCCGGCTTATCGCACACTAAGCGAAAACACTGCAAAAACCTTCATTTATTCAACTTTTTAACTATATAAAATTTCGATAAATGTGTGGATTGAATTATTCAAATTGAGGAATATAGTAAACAATTATCAAAATTATTTTAAAAAATGAATAGATTATTTTTATGATTTTTTTGGAAAGATTTGTAGGGGTTTAAAGTTAGAATTTTCAAAATTTTCAAAAAAATCGATTTTTTTGTATGGGAAAAGCGTTATATGTGATAAATTTCGAAAATTTTCAACTTCAAGATCCTATAATTTCTTTCAAAAAAATATTAAAAATAATCTGTTTTATTTTTAAGATTATATATATATTAAACTCTTAGACATAAAATTTTGAAATTATTATTTCAATTATCAAATAAATTATCAGAGAAATTAGTTTATATGGGAAAACGATTTTTTTGCAGGGATTTTGTCACGAAAAAGGGTAGTGTGCGATAAGCCGGGGCCTCAACTCTTACTTTCCTATTACGTTATCCCGTAAGTCCGCGCACCCACTGGTGAATTATATAATAGAATTACATAATCGAATTACATAATCGAATTACATAATCGAATTACATAATCGAATTACATAATCGAATTACATAATAGAATTACATAATAGAATTACATAATAGAATTACATAATAGAATTACATAATAGAATTACATAATAGAATTACATAATAAATTTCTTCAAGAATTAATCTCTTTTCTTAAGGAGTAAGGAATTTATATGTTAAATAATCTTTAAATTCCGATTTCAAAAGTAAAGATTAGGTCGGGTATCCTACTTTCGGGCCACTGCCCTTTTAGGCCACCCTTTTATACCAAAAATCACTTTTTAGGCCTATTAATATTTCGATCAATATTCAATATGATTTGATGAAAATTTGTATATATATAATTTGAATCGATTTAAGATTATTCTGAAATTTTTAGATTTTTATTTATTTTTCTGAATTGAAATCTAAAGCTTCAAAATATTGATTTTCAAATTTATATAGGAATTATATATAAATTTAAAACTTTTATAAAAACTTTTATAACTTTTTAATAACAATAATTAAAAGAAAACTATAAATATTTTTGAAATATTTAAGCTTAAATCTATATAGAAATTCAAAAAAAAATTCGAAAAAATTAATAGATATAAAGATATTGTGAGCGAAACTTGGTACTGATCACATGACCTCTTTCTATAGCTAGTATTTATAGATCTTCTTTATATAATTTAGAGAAAGCAATCAGTTCCCATTCACCTTCTCATACATTTCGTGATATACTATATAAAGCCTACTCCTCCTCTCCTCCGCTAAAAGCATTATGTCTCAATAACTTATTTGTGGTATTTACAAAGAACTACTTTATGACCCTACCACCTTCTACTCTTTTATAATATAGTATACAGTGAGTTTAGAATAGTATAAATAATTACTATCATTTTGAGAATATCCCTATAAATATTTATTTGTTAGAGACTTTCTATTTCTTCTGAATCTTTTAGATAAAATATATTATAAGTTTATAATAAAATTTCATAGTTTATTTTTAGCAATTTTCATTAGAAAGTTATTAAAGATTTCATAAAAAATTTAAATTTGTATATGATTCTCATATAAATTTAAAAATCGATATTTTAAAGCTCTAATTCTCAATACAGAAAAATCCTAAAAATTTAAAAATTTCAGAATAGGCTTAAATCGATTTAAATTATATATATATAAATTTTCATAAAATTATATTAAATGTTAATAGAGATATTAATAGGCCTAAAAAGTGATTTTTGGTGTAAAAGAGTGGCCTAAAACCCTGTTGGTTCGAAAGTAGGGTATCCGACTTAGTTAGTATAGACAATAGTATTATAATAAAATAGTTATTACGGAATTCACCATATAGTATAACCTTACAAGCACTAATCCTAGTACTCCTTTGAAGTACTTATTCTCATGATTATTAATATTATTTTATTTATTTCATTTATATGCCCTATATACTTAATTAGGTGAGTATCTTGCTTGATTAGGGTATATAAAGTAGGTATAATCATTAGGATTATATCTTAAATCAATTTAGTTTATTATTATTCTATATATCTATTCCTTAATTAAAGTGACTATCAAATATAGTTATTATCTTTATAATAGTTATAAGCCTAATTAATATTTTGTCACGAGAGAATATGCCTATATAAACCCAATTAGCTTAATACTATCGGTAATATCACTTTTAGCGTGATAGTTATGAGCTTGGTATATGTTTATAGTGTAGTGGCATAATTCTTTACTTTACTGTACTTTCTTGTAGTGGTTTTTCGTGGGCCTACTTATAAGAGGGTATTTCAACAGACCTATATTAGTTATCTGATCTTGGCCTATTAAAGCTAATGTGAGGACTCTGCTCTGTTGCCCCACTATATCCATATAGCTTAGCCTATTAGATGAATCCATAGAGAACCTAGATCTAGATAAATCCAATCAGAGAACCTAGATTTGGCAGCATAGAGATGTAGGAAGAGATTTGCGCATATATGACTCAATTGAGGCTAGTACAGAGATTACTGCCTATAACCAGCTAGTCAGCAATCTCGGGGGTGTGTCACGAGAGAATATGCCTATATAAACCCAATTAGCTTAATGCTATCGGTGATATCACTTTTAGCGTGATATATTTATATTGTGTTTTTATTATATATATATATCTTTTGATTATTTTGATTTATATATACTTTTTCCCATATTTTTTTATAATTTTGTTATATCAAAATCTAATTCCTCAAAAGTTATTTGACTCATTACTTATAAACATTAATCAAAATAGTTTTTAAATCTATAATACCTTTATATATCAAAAAATATCTAAAAAAATATTAAATTATTTAATTTCAAATCTACTCTAATTACTTCAATTAATTTTGAAAAATCCTTAAAAAATAAAAAAACTTTTTACCAATTGATTCCCATTCACAATAAAAACTAATTCACCAAAAATCCACCTAAACTTATTACAATCATCGATTTTATAAGAAAATACAATTTGAACAACTAAGCAAAATATATCTTTAATCTTAATACCTATAAATAATTTTAATAAAAAGATTTGAAAAGAAATATTAAAATAACTTTATTACTATCCTTTAA